TTTTTTTTTAATAATTTTTATATCGTTTTCATTGATTTAATTGAAAGACAATGAATACTAATTCCGTTAATTGATTAAAATCTGAGAAAAAAAATTTAATTTAAGATATAATTGTACGACTGCTTATCTTTTAAAAATTAATTTCTATAATTTTTTAAATAAATATATCATTGAGTGCACTTTAATTGTTGTAAAAATTTAAAATAAAAAAAAAATTTTCAACGTCAAAAAACAGAAAAGAGATATTGCGATAAACATTTTTTTTAATATTAATTAAACTCAGAATTTTCAATTTTAGATTTTTTTGAAAATTTCAAAGTCCGGTAACTTTTTGGATTTTGGGTTTAAAGCAAAATAACATTATAATTACTTGTAGAACTCTTAGCAACGATGCCAGAACTCTATTCAGAACACTCAGAACTCTAAATTTTTAATTTTTGACTTTTTTGAAAATTTCAAAGTCATGTAACTGTTTGATTTTGGGTTTAGAGCAAAATGACATTAGAATTACTTGTAGAACTCTTATAAACGATGCCATAACTCTAATCAGAACTCTCAGAACTCTAATTTTTCAATTTTTGACTTTTTTTAAAATTTCAAAGTCCTGTAACTTTTTAGATTTTGGGTTTAAAGCAAAATGACAGTAGAATTACTTATAGAACTCTTTGCAACGATGCCAGATCTCTAATAAGAACTCGTGAAATGTTATTTTCATAAAGTTTTTTAATTTGTTAATAACTTTTAAAATTTTGCAAAACCCTTTTTTTGGTAGAGAACTCTAGAACTCTTTATTCTCTTTCATATTATTAGGTAAGAACTTTTTTTTTGCAAAAATCATAGTGCTATGCAAAGTTAGCACTATGATTTTTCAATATCGCTTTTTTTGATGTTAATCATCAGAACTATTTAAATAATCGTTAAAGAACTCTAGAACTATTGCTAAAGTGCCCAAAACTATTGTAAAAATTTTTATTTTTAAAAAAAGTAGTGCTAACTTTACACGACTGTAAAAGCGTAGCAACACTTAAACTTTTAACTAAAATAGTGTACTTTGTGATCGAAATGGGGATTTTGGTCAGACAAATTCTCAATTTCATGTCACGCATTTTTAAAAAAAATATTTTATATTTTTATACTTTTGTTGTTCTAGGTTTTGTAGAACCTTAATCCCAGTTGACCAGTATTCCAAATTTTGTTATTAAGCCTTGTTTTTCAATTTTTTAGACGAAAAATGAACAAATTCTCAATTTCCTGATTCTCAGTTTCCTGATACTTTCTGACAGAATACACATGTGCTTAATATGTAAAATTTACAATTTTAATTTTTTTAACTGGTCACCTTTAGGTAAATTTGATAATACTATTAACTTTAATTTTACTTAATTTTTAAAACCTATAAGTCAAAAAAATATTGTGCAAAAATTTTCTTCATTTTCATTCTTCGTTTGTAGAACTACCATTATGTGTCGTAATAAGTATTTCTTTAAAAATGACATAAATTTAAATGACTTGAAATTTTTAACAATAAACATTTAAATACAACATTCCAGCGCTCTTCCCAGTAAACGAAAACTAATTGAAATGAATTAAAAAGAATTAACAAAGAGCTTTCGTGAATCCCGCTTTGTTTCTTTTGTATCATCTTTATAAAACTTTTAAATTCTTTTTTATTCAGATAATTTACATGAAATTTCAGACAGATAAAAATTGTTATAATTAGAAAGTATAAAGTATGTAAAGTAGAATCAAATATTATTTGTTTACATTCCTATGAGGTTAAATGACAATTCGAAAGCATTGAATTTCGTTAAATTTACAATTCGTTTCAAAAGAAATTAGTCTAAATTGCAAATCGTCAATTGTGAATTCGACTTAATAATTATTACGCTCTTTTCATTTTGGGGAACAGACCTGCATCCCACACACTATAAATTCTCGGTAACTCTTTTTAAGAAGTGATATAACATAATTTTATATCATTATTTTGTAATTTAACATTTAAAAAAAATAATAAAATATTAATTAAGGAAGATTTCGACTATATCAGCAATTAGTGACATCTATTAGACGTCAATTGAACTCTTTGGTTTAGAGTCAGGTGTTATTCTTAAGATAATTATTCCGATATGGTTGTCGGTAAATAATTATATTTTTGAATTTAATTTTTGATCTGATATAGTCGAAATCTTCCTTAATTAAAATTCTTAATCAGCAAATAATTTCCTACATTAACTATACAGCTCTTCGACTAGTGTATGGGCTTGATCTGAGATTATAAGCAACGTGAACGTCCAGGCTGTGTTGGCATGGTGCATTGGTAGGCGTTAGTCCTGCGAAAGGCAGCTATTAACTGGGGTTCGAGTCCTCACAGATGCACAGTGCAGTCGTTCACGCAGCTTATTTTTTCAGATCAAAAATTAAATTCAAAAATATAATTATTTACCGACAACCATATCGGAATAATTATCTTAAGAATAACACCTGACTCTAAACCAAAGAGTTCAATTGACGTCTAATAGATGTCACTAATTGCTGATATAGTCGAAATCTTCCTTAATTAAAATTCTTAATCAGCAAATAATTTCCTACATTAATAATAAAATATTAATTTAAACAATTATTTATTATTCAGCTCTTTAATTAACTTAGGATAAATATATTAGGGAATATTATTAATTGATTAGACGGAATTTAAATGTACTACCACATGTCTCTATTTACAGCTACATACCTAAGCAGGCAGCCCGACTCTAAATTAGGCGGTAGATTTAAATTAATATTTTATTTTTAATTAAAATTATTATTGAAAATGAATAAAAAATAATAATTATTATTATTTTTATTATTATCTTCAAATTTAATTTTATTATTACAATTAGCTTTTTTTTGCAGGCAACTGTAGCGGTAATCACAACTCATATGAACACACTATTTTTTCAGAATAAAAAAAGTTAATGGTATAAAATTGAAACTACTTTTTTGAAAAATAAAAAATTTTAAAAGACTTATAAACACTTTAGCAATAGTTGTAGAATTCTCCAATGATTGTTAAAATAGTTATTATGATTAACAATATCGTTGTAAAAAATTTCGGACAAATTTCAGATGAAATACGGACATATTAGTACGGATTAATCCGAAAATTTTTGGAAAAAGGTCGAAAATGATCAAAAATAGACTGATATCAATTCGAACGAAAACCTGAATCAGAAATAACTTTAGAGTAATTCTAAATGTCTGTCTATGAATTCAGTACGTAATTAGTCAGCAACAATCATTATTTATGACCGGTGAATAATTATACTATAATAAATACAGAATTATCCGATATGAATATGTAAAGAATAAGGAATCAGTTAGCAACAATAAAAGTTAAATCTAGTTTAAAAAACTTAATCCGCAAGATATACGGAGAAATTCGAACTATGTAAAGAAGAAATCGTGTATTAGTCAACAACAATTTTAAACTAAGTGTGGCAAAATTCTATTGAGAAAGAAAAACGAAAAAATTATAAATCATTATGCTAAGAATAAAAAAATTGTCTGCAACAATCAGGAATTAATCCAACTATAAAAGGCATAATCGAAAACAATTTTTGGAAATAATAAAAAAACAATATGCAAAGAATACTAAATCAGTATGCAATAATACCAAATTTAATCCAGTTAAAATATTTAATACGAAACAACTGTGGAACAATCAGAAATGTGTATGCAAAGAATTTATTACTAGTAAGCGTCAATACGAATAATATCCGATCAAAACACCCCAGTTAGAAAATAAGTCTTATTATTATAATAATTTATAAATATGTACAATACAAAAATAATTAAAAACAATTTATATTTAATACAATTTAAATACTTAATCCAGAATGATTTCGTTATAATATTGAATTGGTATATTAAAAACAATTTGTATTAAATGCAGATAAATTTAAACTATAATTATAATTTCATATGAAAAAAACCTGACCAAAACAAAATTAATTTATGATTTAATAATTTCACATTTACAAGTTGCGTATTATTAAACACAAACTTAGGACTAGATTGTACTAATTTAGGATTCACTAGTTATACCCAAAGCGCATTGAGTTTGAATTTATTCGGAAAAATTCCAAGCGAAATTTTATAAAATTGTGAACAGTTTAAAATTCAGAATTATGAGAGTTCTAATTAGAGTTCTGGCATTGTGATAAACAGTTATATAAGTATTTGTAATAACATTATTTTTTAAATTTAAAATTTAAAAAGTTAAAAGACATTAAAATTTAAAAAATTTTCAAAATTTCGAATTATACTAATTCTAAAAACAGTTCTTGCATTATTGCAAAGAGTTCTAGAAGTAATTGTAGTCTTTACAATTTTTAATCGACTTGAAAATTATTTGATTTTGGATATAGAAAAAAAATTTCATTAGAAATAATAATAAAAATAGTTATGAAGATTTCAGAACTATTTTAAAAATTCTCAGAACTCTGAATTATAAAATATTAAAATTTTTTGAAAATTTCAAAGTCATGTAAATTTTTTGATTTTGGATTTAAAAAAAAGGCAATTAAAAATAATAATAAAATTCTTTATAACAATACAAGAACTATAATCAGAAATGTGAATTTTTAAATTTTGAAAATTTCAAATAATTTCAAAGTTATGTAAATTTTTTGATTTTGGATTTAAAACAAAATGTCATTAGAAATAATAATAAAATTCTTTATAACAATGCCAGAACTATAATCAGAAATCTGAATTTATAAATTTTGAAAATTTCAAATAATTTTAAAGTCGCGTAAATTTTTTGATGCATAAATATTATAATTTTTTTTTTTCGACCACCATAGTGTAAAATTGATAGGTAGCAGTGATAACATCAATAGATTTAAAATATAAAATGGAAAATAAATAAGGAAAAAAAATTTTTTTTTTATTAATTAAATTTCATCACTACCATTATATTATTTTTTTGTACATTAACTTAAACCTATTTTTTATAATTATTATTTGTGAAATTCGTCAATCGTACATCGAACACAATCATAATTGTTCATTTCGTAATCAGCCGGGTACACCATCTCCGACGCTGGCGGGTAACTTGCCTTTGCACGGGGCTTCTGGGCCTTCGCATTTTTCTTCGGAGTTGCCACTGCAGGTGCAGCTGGGGATTCTACATTGTATACCATTTTAGTAAAATTTTTTTTTTTGAAAAAGACAAAATTTGTTGAATAACTTGATGATGCATCCAACTCAAGCGTTCAAACATTAATAAGCACATTTCCCTGCGCTCGTAGACATAGTAAAACGCACGGACGGTGAAGAAAGGCCCCAGTTCTCGTTGGCTTTCTCTCGTTTGAATTATTCTCTGTAACTTTCGTACATTATTTAAAATTTCGTTTAATTTTTTTATGTTTATTTCCTCTTCCAAAATTGTAAATAGATGAAATTGCAATTGTACGATTATTCTAATTTTTTAAATATAAAGAAAAACATAACACTTTAATTGTGTTTTTCAGTAAAAATGAACAATTTTCAATACTCTGCTTTTATTCATTATTCTCAACAAGTTCAGAAACATATAAAAAAACAATTAAACAAATTGCATTGTTCAAAAATTAAAATTCAAGTTTAATAACATATTAATTTACGCTATTTATATCAGTCATGTGAAGTTAGCACAAATTTTTCAAAAAATTAAAAAAATCACATGAGTTCTGGGTTCTTTAGCAATAGTTCTGTATTTCTATAATAATTTTTTCAATAGTTATGGCAATTAACACTAAAAAAATGACATGAAAAAAATAGGGCGCTAATTTCGGGTAAAACTATAATTTCCAAAAAAAGAAATTTCTGAAATGGTATTTTGATAGGAATTAAAAGATTTGTTTTTTAAAATTTGAAATATTTTTTTAAACTGTCTTATTTATGTATGTGAAACCCCCCCCAATTTTTAAAAAATTATATTTTATTTAAATTTCTGACTTCCTCTACAATATTTCTAGTGTTAATGATAGTTTTCAGAAATAGTTCCGTCGAATAAATGGTAAAAATATGTTTTTTCATAATAGGGGTTAAATTCACACAGCCCCCCATCAGTGAAATAGACACTTTTATTAAATTTTATTAAAAAAAAAAAAAAAAAAAAAACCGCTAATATAATAAGATTAGTATATATATATATATATATGTTTGAATTAGAATTAAAAATAATTCAAACGTAATAAAAAATTGTTGGCCCTGAAAAGGGCCGATTGATATAGTTTTTAAAAAAATTTTTTTTAGTGATAATGATTAAGAAAATTGTCGAAAAATATCAGAGATTACTTGGATGTCCTTTATTATCATTTTTACTTTGTTTGCGTTGATTACGAAAAAAATACTTTTTTCATAAAGACTTAGGACGTAGGCCTCACTTGCCTCCTGAAGGGCCATAAAAGCAGAATTATCGAAACATATATCTGTACTGATTGACTGCAATGTTTTACGGATAAAACGTTGAAAGGGCAGTTTGTCAATTATCAGCTCGGTGTTATTCGAATAGAGATGGATGTTACGAAGAGCGAACATTTCGGGCATATCGCTATGTGGCTTCTTCAATTCATCAGTTGCAGGAGCAATTTTACCAGCAGCCTTGGTAGCGAGTTGATTCCTTGGTGCTTCATCACCGATGGTTTTACAAGGAGATTGCTTGAAACGAGCCATTGTTTCGTTGAGAGTTCAAAGTACGAAGGAAAAATGAAGAATAGTTTCGGCATTATGAAAACGTACATATTTATAGGTCTCTGGAAGGTCTTGTACAGTTAATAAAGGAGAAGGGGATACTAACATTATGATTGGTCAGTCAAATGGTAGAGGGGATGAGTGAAACTACACATTTAATAAAACTAAATAATTTCACCGCCTCAGTATCATTGCGAGCTTGTTCTACATTCTGTTAAGAACGTTCTCACTACAAATCTATAAAAAATGAGTAATCATGGAAATGGAGTAAAGGAATTGGAAAAAGGAGAAGGAAAGCGCCGTATATTAAAATGTTTAATGAAAACATGAAATGATATAACAAAACACAAGCATTCATAGTCTGGAATAAAATAAACTTTTTTCCACTTGACATACCCAGAAGTACTAGGAAAAAAATTAAAACAACATTTAAATAGTATATCTACAAAGTAGTATTTTTTATGATGCCAAGATGGGTGTTGACACCGTCTCACAAGTGGTAATATGCTGTGTCTAACACGAGACGCATGCTTATTCCCGAAATTTTGTTTGACCAAATAGTTATTTGATATAAAAGTAGTTTTATAAACTTTTTTTTTTTTTTTTTTTTTTTTTTAACTTAAAATTCACATAATATGCACATTATTTGACATAAATTTCATTGTACACAAAAACCATTTAACATAAATATCATTTGTCATAGAATTCATTAAACAGAAATATTATGTTACATAAAACTCAGATAACTTAATTCCCATTTTACATAAAAATCATGTAACATAAATTTCTATTGACATAAAAATCATTTAACATAAATTTCTTTTGACATAAAATTCATTTAACGTAAATTTTATTTGTTATAAAATTCATTTGACATCAATTTCATTTGTCATAAATGTCATTTAACGTAATTCTCATTTGACATAAATATCATTAGACATAAAATTAGCTTGACATAAATTTCATTTGACGTGAATATTATTGAACATAATAATTATTTAACGTAAAATTAAATTTATATAAATTTCATTTAGCATAAATTCCATTTAACATAATTCTCATTTGGCATAAAATTTACTTGACATAAATTTCATTTGGTATAAATCCCATTTTACATAATTTTCATTTGACATAAAGTTCATTTGTCATAAAAGTCATTTGACATAAATCAGATTTGACATAAAAGTCATTCAACAAAATTCTCATTTGACATAAAAATCATTTTACACAAATAACATTTTACATAACAATATCGGCGCGAATTTTAAAAGTAACCGATTAGATATTATCAACAACATTGTGATTCGATAATTTTGAAATTCGCGCCTATATTTCCATGTCAAATGACCTGTATGTAAAATAAAATCTATGACAACTGAATTTTATGTCAAATGAGAATTATTTGTAATGAGTTATCCGTCAAATGAAATTTATATCAAGTGAACTTTATGTCAAATGAAAATTATGTAAAATGGGATTTATAACAAATGAAATTTATGTCAAGTAAATTTTATGCCAAATCAGAATTATGTTAAATGGAATTTATGCTAAATGAAATTTATATAAATTTAATTTTACGTTAAATAATAATTATGTTAAATGACATTCACGTCAAATGAAATTTATGTCAAGCTAATTTTATGTCTAATGATATTTATGTCAAATGAGAATTACGTTAAATGACATTTATGCCAAATGAAATTGATGCCAAACGAATTTTATAACAAATAAAATTTACGTTAAATGAATTTTATGTCAAAAGAAATTCATGTTAAATGATTTTTATGTCAATAGAAATTTATGTTACATAATTTTTATGTCAAATGGGAATTAAGTTATCTGAGTTTTATGTAACATAATATTTCTGTTTAATGAATTCTTTGACAAATGATATTTATGTTAAATGGTTTTTGTGTACAATGAAATTTATGTCAAATAATGTGCATATAATGTGAATTTTAAGTTAAGTAGTTTTATATCAAATAACTATTTGGTCAAACAAAATTTCGGGAATAAGCATGCGTCTCGTCTAACACCCATAAATTTGCGCTATTTTGATTGTTGTTGCGAAAGACAATTTTAATCAACCGGCCTGTTACACATTAAAAGTAACGTTAAAATAATCACATTTATAACCGGACCGACATTAAATTGCTGCCACTAATGTGCCTGAAATTGGCAAATCTTCGTCACATGATTGACAATTGAATTAAAAAATATTTTAATATCAAAATTAATGATATGTTTCTAATATTTAATTATTACCTATTTAAAAATTTCACTACAATTAATTTTAAAATAAATTTTTAATAGAAAATTATATGATAATTAAATTATTTAAATGAAAAAATGAATAATTAATTGAATAAATTAAAAATATTAAAATTTATAAATAATAAAGGAAAATTTTAATTTAAAAAAAGTTTCTTTTAAATTTATTTAACAATTTATTTAATAGTAAAATTATTTTAAAAAAAAATAAATTGTTTTTTTAAATTAATACTTCATTAAAGTGTATAAAAAAAAATAATAAATAATAATTTTTTAAAATTGACACAACAAAAATATAGAAAATGAAAATTTTCGAATAATTTAATCAGATTTTTTTTTAAATTTATTAAATTATTTTAAAACAAAATAAATAATTTATAGAATAACTAATTGTTTATTAAAATGATATTCTGATAAAAAATTTTACTAAATTAGAATGCAATTAATGTAGCTTTAATGGTCAGATGTTTATCACATAAATCTAAAAATTATCTTTTGCCATTAAATATTAATAAAGTTAAACATGAATGTGCAATTATTTGTCCAAAATGTGGTACAAACTTAAAAAATTTGAAAACCTTATCTTCGTAGCCATCATTGGCACAGCATTAAAACTTATTGAAAAAAATTAATGGATGTCCACCTATTAATGGAACATTAAAACTATGGCCAATTATCGGCAGACATTACTGCACAAATATGATGGAAATGTTTTTTTAATCTTGGCATTTCAAAAATTTATAATTTATTACATAAACAGAATATAATATTAATCTTAAAGTATAACAAAACCGTGACTTAAAGTTTTAGTTTAAAATAACTTTACATTGTAAAATTTTAATTACTTTTACTGTCTAAGGTTTAAGTCCCTTTAATATATAAGCCCAAGTGCGAATTGCCAAGACTGCAAAAAAGGCCAATCATTGTTGCAGTAATGTCTGCCGAGAATTGGCAGTAGTTATTGGGCCATTATTGGTGTTCAAAATGTCCCATTACTGGACCAATGATGGCGCCAATGGTCAGAATTTTAAAATTTTTAAGACTAGGCCAGATCTCGGCCCAATAATGGCACATTCATGGCAAAGTTGATCAATCTTGAATGGCAAAAGACAATTGCCAGTGATTTGCAGACCATCGGCCCAGTAATGGCTCATTATTGGCACTTTAATGGCAAAAAATTTGTATCGTTCATGGCAAATTATAATTACCAGTATTGGAGAGTAGCTTGGCTCAATAACGGCACAATATTGGCAAAGTTGATGAATCTTTAATGGCAAATTTCAACTGCCAATGATGTCACGAAGATCGGCCCATTACTGGCACATTAGTGTTATTTTAATGGCAAACATTTTGTATCTTTGATGGCAAATTATAATTGCCAGTATTGGGGCGTAGCTTAACCCAATAATGGCACGTTATTGTCAAAGCTGATCAATCTTTAATGGGAAAATTCAATTGCCAGTAATATGACGAAGATCGACCCATTAAAGGCACATTAATGGCACTTTCATGGCAAAAATTTTGTATCTATAATGGCAAATTATAATTGCCAATATTGGGACGTAACTCGGACCAATAATGGCACAGTATCGGCCAGTGTAGTGTAGCTTATAAGAACCCTTTTGCTTCATCGACTTCAAGTCAGAGTAGCAGAATGGTCAGAGTGTTAGGCTGTGGTGCGTCAGGTTCAGGTGTCGATCCCCGCGAGAGGTAAGAATTTTTCAAATATTTGTAAGTTTGCGTTTAATTTAGGGAAATAAGCCGTATAAATGTTATAAATTAATTAGTTAATTGAATGAAAAAAAATTATTTTTATTTTTTTCTAATTATGTAAACACTGGGGGAGTAATGGCAACCAATATTTGGTTATTAATGTCTGCCGAGATCTGGTGCAAATATTGGGCCATTAATGTCTACCGAGATATGGCTGCCAATAATGAGCCAATAATGTCTGCCGAGATCTGGCGGCCAATATTGGGCCATTAATGTCAGCCGAGATCAGGCTGCCGACGTCTAACCGCTGTTAACACCACAAGAGTCGGCGCAAAGTCGGGCCAATATTGTCTGCCAAGTCTCGATGCCAGCTTTACCAATACTAGGCCAGTGTTGGGCCGCGTTGGTTTTCGCACTTGGGAGCCTATAAAGAAAAACATCAAATTTTTAAACTAGATCGTGTTTACCACAATCTTAGTTGTTGACTTCACAACAACTGCAGATGTTTTTTAAGGTAAACTTACATTGATAAGTTGTACTATGTGGGTAATACTGTTTAAACAATGTATAATAAGCCGAAAAAGTGGATAGTCGTAAGGAGACATTGGCAACAAATGTTCTGCAGAACTAGATAATTTAAATATCCGACGTAAAGTGGCTGACATAATAGTGACGAACATAATAAAGAAGGTAATATTCACTTTGGCAACACTTGTCGTGCCGACTTTGGAAGCCAATGATAAGATGACTGTTAAGAAAAAAATTATTAATTGTTTATATTGCATACATCTTAAAACTAAACAAAATATCAAAAATAAATAAAAATTGAAATTTATAAAGCTTAAAAAAATAAAACTCATAACGTAAATAAACAATTAATAGGGGAGGATGGGGCAAGGATAGTTAGGTAATACCTTTTCGGATCTAGCGGCCAAACTTGATTATGTATCTGCAAATAAAAAGTATTTTTGGAAAGCCTGGTTATTTGGCTATAATTTTGCTGTACATTATTTTATTGTAAACTCAAATCCCTACGAGATATGAATGAAAAAGTAAACAAAAATTTTTAACTATT